CGATGCACTTGTTAATGCTTACTAAAAAATTTAGACACACACGACCTTTGTTAGTTCTGCTTCTTTACAAATAACAAATCGCATACACGAGTTATACTCTCCAGGTGCTGGGAAAGCTAATGGGTTTCAAGAGTAATATACTTGCCTTATAACACACCACCAGTGTCATGTCACTATGTGTGCATCATGACTCTTCGGTACAGGACCAGGAGGAAACTTAGCCTTCGCATGAGTCCATCCCTAACGGTGTTCTGGGCGATGGGTTTGTGGTACGGTGGGTGTTCCTCATGCCAGTGCGGGTGTTGCTGCTGGTTCTCAGTCTTACTACCTTGGTAGTCCTGTGCTCTGCAGTTGGTCTTCTTCCACCAGCGACTTCAAGCGACGCCTCAACGCAGGTGTCGTCACCTGGTGTTTTGACTTTATTGCTGGATCACTCTCTGTTGTTGCCAGGTAGGGATACCAGTGTGTTTTTCTGCGCAGTATATGCAAAGTGTCACATTGCGTAACAATAACAATATAATGTTCATATATCTAGTGAGCATATGATTATATATGCCTGAACTTTGAGAATTACTTTCATTTACTTAGAATAACACAAAAAGCATATTAGATGACATCTTATCTCCTTTTTTAGAATTATTGTTAATTTATTCTGTTAAAAAATGGCCTAAAATGTTCCTCAAAGATTTCACAACAGTGAGAACCGGCCCACCCATGGCATCGTAGTGCCAACCATACATCACCTATTGACTCCATGGTACTGGCTACTGACCAGTGCTATGACATGGTAGGTCCTACTGATTTACTAGTGTTATATTATTATTCTTACATTCAACAGGAAGCGTTCAACCATAGGAGTTACAAAGCGTTTAGGGAATGGGAGACATTGTTTTGATTCAAGGAAAGGGAGGGAATCCGAATTTCTCGGACCCTGACAACCCATCCTCTCAAATACTATGTGAATTTTCTCATACGATTTGCAGCTAATCTCTCGATTTTCGTTAATAGGGATAAGGTCGGGTTAGGTTGTCCTCTGTCCAGTTATAACATACCATAAAGGAAATAAATGGAATATAAGATAAAAGCGATGAAAAAAAAAAAAGTTCTGGTGCGCTAAAAGAAAACTGGTACCCACTTATTGCAGTAGAAAATGGTGGGATTTTTACTAATGCATTTTCATGATAAAGATGCCACAATTATAAGACAGGTTGAATCTGCAATGGATCTAGTGTTCACTATACTCTAAATGAAACACAATGTGAACATGAACCACCACGAGACTGGTACATGAACTGCAAGGTTAACTTACGACAGAGGAAAAAAAAGACAGAAGGACCCGGAGGTTTGGGCTTACACAGATATTTTTCCAAATGAGGTGGTGACGTTGATGAGGGGCTCTTGATGTTTGTGAGGGGGCTCTTGATCTAGGATCTGTGCTCCAATTCCTTGAATTAGGCTTAAGTGCCTTCCATCCCCCCCGCCAACTCTGCATAATCCCTTCGGGTTCAGCGCTCCCATAATAATGAAAGACCCAGCTTACACAGCAAGTCAACAGGTTAAAAGAATTTGTATTGTTTGTTTAAACAATAGTCTGCAGTAAGCGATGTTGCCATTATTTGAGTTGTGTGAAGTTTTGCTGTGAAATGTTTCCTTCGAGGGAGGTTCCTTGATGCAAGTGAAGGCAGCGCTATATGACCCTGGTGGGTTTAGAGCTTAGTGTTGATAATTGATGCTGGTGAGGGGCTTTTGAGCCAAGGAATGGGACGTGTCATCTCGTTCCTTGGATCGAACCTGTTTTCCTATTTCCTTACAGGTTTTATGAATTAATTATGTGAGAAATTACGTGCACGAGGTTTACAGGGTATTACCTAAATTATACATGCAAGTAATTTGGGCAAGGAAAGGGGGATTTAGTCACAGTAAGTCACAGTACGACTCCTTCGATCCGGGAACCCATCGCCAAAAGCTGCCCTAGAAAAATAATAACAATTTAAACTTTAAATACCAATAAGGGAAAATTTAAAAAATTGAAAGTAATGTTAGGCTTGCGGGGTACCAATTAATTATTGTACCAAATTATAATGGTGTTGTTAAAAAGAAATTAAATACCACTTACCATTAATTACGTAGACAGATCACAAAACCCCTCCCTAAAAAATAAAAACCCTCAGGGCCACGAAAAAAACCAAATGGAAGGACTAATGACTCACTCCCTGTGGAGGATGATGTTCGTCTTTCTTCCGTTATCCACATGTAATTTAAAGGCCCCCAAATTTCTTGTCCCCAAATTTTTCAACAGGGGGGATTAATATGGGGCCTTATTACAAATTTAGGATGAAACACCCAAAATTTTGGGCCCCAATGATGCCGATTATTACGAATTTACCCCAAAACCCATGCTAGCAAATTACAAATGCTACTGTAAGTTACGCACTAATGCGCAATTACAGGGGGCCTAAAGCTGATTGCTATTAAAAGGCGAGACCAGGGGCTATAACCGACCCCGCAAATGGAACTAGGGTTAGAAAATGTCATGCAAAAACACAGCTATTTTATAGCTTTCTTGTATTTTTATTTTCCTTTTATAATTAGTTTTCCCGCTGAAGGTGGGGCAGAAGAAAAAAGGGATCCTGGGAGTGCAGATGGCACTGTCCAGTCTTCATACCCATCTGGTTCGACAGTAAGGCCTGGGAAAAATCCAGGGCTCGAAAATGTAAGTTAAAGAATATTAATGTTTAATGGTTGTGGGGATAGTTGTCTTGTAGATTAATAATATATATTACTAATCTGTAATGGCTAGTTATCTCATTTTATGGCTAACTGACTTATATTTAAGCACTAGTTGTCTTATAGTTTAGAGCTAGTTTTATATTTTAGAATTATTTTTTTACAAATTAAATCGTTATTTTGGAATGATGCTTTTAACAATTTTGTATTTATAGTAATGAGTACCAGTAAAAATTGTATTAGTATTTTTGGGAAGTTTTAAACTTGTTGGAAATCAGGTTTGGTCTAAGAAAGGGTTGGGTAGCTCCAGTTCAAATCAAATCAAATGAAGTTTATTCTCTATAAAGATTACATTGCGGGGTTTACATGTTTTAGGATATTTGTCAGTGGAACGCCTTCCTACTGAACAAAAGAAAATAATGGAAAAATAAATAAATAAAGAAATGATTTAGGAAAAACAAGAAAAATGATTTTTGAGAATTTTACTTAAAATTTAAATATAATAAAAAAAAAAATGGCCTTCAGTTCTTGTAGTTGGGTAGGAGTAGGTATGGCCCTGGATAGTTCCTCTGATGTTATTTATGTAGGTTATCCTGGGCAGATGGTAATCCGATGTTCTGGAATCTCCTACCACTTGGATGGAGCACAAGTAGTATAGGTAAGGGCCGGTAGTTGTAGAATAATGTTAATAAGTACTATTAACACGTCTTGCCCCTTTATCTGGCGTCTATCCTGGAAGACCACGCCAGGAACAGAGCTGACAAATAAGAAAAAATAACACTGGTTACCCATAGTCATGATAATATAACATTTAAGAAAGAAAAAGAATGATAAATGCCAAAATCATTACTGGTAACCAGCAAACACTAGAAAAGAACAAACAGTAATACTCCTGGTAGATCACCCTACCTGATTAGGAGAAGAGTGGAGGCGAAGTGACTCTCCAAACTTCAATCCACACCAGGTAAGGTCAATATTACCAGGAGTAGAAACTTTAACAAATCGGACACCAGGAACTAGTTTTGCCCCAGCCCGCCAGAGAGGGGGGGGTGAGTGCGCGCGCAACGTAACTCGCTAATGGTTCCTGGTTGCCCGAACAACCTTAACCCCACTTACACCTACTTTTCCCTCACAATATTGTGTGATTTACATGTTATAAAATACTAATTACAGAGGAGGCCATTATCACACCTAGCATGGCTAGGCATTTTGGGCAGACTAATTCATAACTCTAAATTATTACAGATTATGGAGCAAGTTGGTATTAAGGCTAACTACATTAGCGTTTGTAAATTTAGCAATGTGAATGTTTTTGTTTTGGTACAATACATAGTTTCTGTACTGGAGTATCAAAGGCAAACTTATGACTAGTTAGAATTCATTATTTTATGATTCTTAATTCTGTGTTTATAGTCAATTGGGTGTGTGAGTGTGAACCACCAGGTGGTTTTCATGCAGTTAGTTGACTGGGTGTATCAGGGAGATAATTATTATTATTACAATCAAGGGGGAATTGTCCTCATCGCCTCCGAGCCGTGTGGACGAGCTGCGCAGACGCTCCTGTTTGAGTTTGTTTTGCGCAGTTTACCTGATTGAGCTGCCCCTAGCGTTGGTTGGTGGAAACTTTATTTTCTCCAACATGGCGCTGAATAGCAGAAGAAGAATCAACACTGTCTGCATTGAGATGATCCGTGGTGCTGTCACAGGATCCAACATGGATTTATTATTACCAGCGATCATTCGCGATACCTATGGTATAGCAAATGAGGAGATATGTGGTGTCGCATTAAATGGAATGACAAGAATCTTCGTTAAGATGACGTCTGCAAAGTCTACGAGGCAGTGGTCGACAAGTATCAGGAGACCATCATACAGGTTTATACAGCTGTGTCGGTGAGACTTCATGATGTATCTCGACATTACACCTGGGTGGAAAAATCAGGAATGTGCCTTTTGAGGCGACTGATTTTGATATTACCAGTGAACTGCTTTACTTATGGGACGGTTCACGTAGCCACAGCAGGGAGATGGACAACTGGACCGTATGCAGGTGCGCTAGAAGGCGCGTATACAGTTAAAATGACTCTTCGGCACCCTATTCCTTCATATATTGTGTTGAAAGAATTAAGGACTCAAGTCTATGTAACGTATGCGGGGCAACAACGTACGTGTCGGCTATGTGGGTCATATGACCACATCGCGGCGCAGTTGTGAGAACGAAGTGGGTACCGGCACAACAGCAACGGCAACAGCAGCAACAGCAACAGCAGCAACAGCAGCCAGTGGACGAGGTTGGTGATGAGCGAGAACAGTCTCTTGCTACACCGCCCCAACAACGGTTGTCATGGAGTGAGGAGGTAGACAAGGAAAAGGAGCTTGAATCGCCAGTTGAAACGCTACAAGGAGAATCTCAGTCATTGGACATACATAAGGGTTTTTTGAGGAGAGACTACCTAATATGGGTGAAGAAGTGGCGGCGTCTTTGGTAAAGGCGTTGGATGACTTGTTAGAGGAATCGGTCCTAGATCAGGTGGAAGACCCAGGCTCAGTTCTGGGGAAGGCTGTGAATGATGGTATGGCAGAAGATGACGGTTTGTCGACGAGAGAGTCTACAGGATTGAAGGTGCATGCAGTAGAGGTGGAGGTGCATCAGGACGGTGCTTCAGATGTCAAAATGCAGGTGGAGGGCGGGACACGAAAGAGGACTGCAGCATCATCGGATTCTGATGATGTGCTCACTCCTGCCAACCCCCTGGGAAAAAGTCTTGGGTGGAGGTACAGCAGAGAGGGAATGGTGAACCCAAGGATCAAGGGATTGCAAAGGTGATTCCCAACAAAGGGGGGAGGGACAGAGGTGTTGCAAAACGAACTGGGGTAAAGTCAATGCCGGGGACAAAAGGAAAACCCATTTGTTGAATTCAAGTGTTTTACTATAAATATTAACGGGTTGAGAGCTGAGAGGAAGCTTAAGTGGTTTAATGAGTATTTGGTGAGACTTGGTGTGGATGTGGTATTCTTACAGGAACAAAATTTTAGGCTTGGTTATGAGTTGGATATGAGTGGTTATAATGTGTACATGGAACATGCGACACGTTTGAAAGGTGGGGCTGGCCATTTTGGTAAAGGAAACTAGCCCGTTTATAGTAAGGCGTAGTGAAGGGGGGGGAGGGGAGGGTAATTAGGGTGGATGGAACTTGGGGTAGGGTTCCCATTAGTTTAGTATGTGTATATGGTCCGGCTGAGGGTGACGTGAGTATTAAAACTAAATTTGTTCGGGACGTGCTGGTCTATTTTTTACGTGGTTTACCGAATGTTGCAATTAATAGGCGGAGATTGGAATTGCGTGATACGTCGTAAAGATGTGGAGCCCAGAGGTGCGGGGTGTTGTTTGGGTATATTGGGGGATATATTGACCGGGGGGGGTTTTAAAGGATGTGTGTGGGGGGGAGGGATGGTAGAGCATACCTTCATTAAACGAGGTTATGCGGCGAGGTTGGACCGAATGTACGTGCCTTGTGGCGGTTTACTGTGCGGAGGGTGGATGTGATAGATGTGGTTTTTTCGGATCATAGAGGATGTGGTAATAGATGTGGATATTGAGGGTGTTCCTCGGAGGGGTCCATCATTTGGAAATTGAATGTAAAGTTATAAAGGAAGAGGATAGTCTTTTGTCTTTTGGACATATGTGGGATCGTTTAGTGGTAGAAGCACCAGGGGATGTTGCCATGGTTAATTGGTGGGAAACAATAGCTAAAAAACGTATCAAGGAATATTATATTAATCGAGGGAAGAGATATAATCAGTTACAATACGGTTTTCAAAAATATTTAGAGGGGCAGTTGCGCGACTGTTATGCACACATTAATGCTAATTATCCTGTTATTGAAATTGAAAGTTTGAAGGAAAATATCCGGAATTTACAAAATGAGAGGTTTGATGGGGAAAGGCTTAAGGGCGGGATTGAGGAGGTTTTGTGGGGAGATCGGCCGTCGGCGTGTGTGTTGCGGAGTCAACACACACGTCGCAAGGCAATGGAGTTAATGGGGTTGAATGTTCAGGTAGGTATGCAAGGGTATAAAGTGGACCAGGTGTTGACGACGACTGAGGGTATGAGTGGGTATATTGATGCTTGGGTTAAGTTGAAAACGCAAAGTGTGGGAATAAGTGAAATAGCATTACAGTCAATTGGAAGGTTTGTGCAGTGTGAGTTGACAGAGCATGATCGATTCGTTTTGGAAGGGCCCGGGATAACGGAGTGCGAGACATGGGTAGCTTTATCCGGGGCGCAATTAGGAAAGGCACCAGGAATTGATGGGTTGCCCAGTGACTTTTATCTCCAAAATTGGAGCGTTTTTAAAAGAATTTTTGGTAAGATTATTCAATATCATTAAGCGGGATCGGGTTTTAGGGGCACAGCAGCGGATGGCTGTGGTCGTTTAGTGCCTAAAGGTGAGCCATTAACAGTTAAAGACTATCGTGCTATTTCGTTATTGTGTGGTGATTATAAGATTTTTGCAAGAATTTTAGCTAACAGAATAAAAAAGGTCCTGGGTAAAGTGATCGATAAGGGACAATATGGGGTGCCGGGAAGGTCTATGTATGACGGGCATGGTTTGATTAGAAGTTTTATTGAAGAAAGAGTAAAATTGGGAGTGGGGGGGGTGTTGGCTATAGATTGGGAGGCGGCATATGATAGTGTAGAAAGGGGATAGCGTTATGGAAGATTATGAGATGGCAAAGGGGGTTTGGAGAGGAAATTATATCATGGGCCAAATTAATGTATCAAGATGCATCCTTGCGGGTGCAGGTAATGGAAGGTTAGGAGATACAAATTCAGATGAGCAGGGGTCTACGTCAAGGTTGTCCCCTTTCACAAATATTTTTTGCGTGTTTACAGGATCCCTTTTATAGAGGAATTAGGGTCTTTTGGCAGCAATGGGGTTGGTGACGAAAGGGGTGGGGGGGCTGGCATTGTTGGATATGTTGATGACACAACGATTTTAGTAAGTGGTAACAGGGATTTGCCTCGGGTGGAAAAAGTTAGTAAATGTTTTTGAAAAGGCTTCTGCATGTCAATTAATAAGGAGAAAACGAAGTATATGGATCTTGGAGATAGGGTTAAGTGAGGAATGTGAAGTAGTTGAAAGGTGGAAAAAGGTGGACCAATTACTGATATGTGGGATCGTTATGTAAGTGATATCAAGTTAGCACAACAAATAAATTCAAATGCGTATTGTAGATGGTGTACTGAAGCGCCTCAGTGGTTTACGAGCTGCACAAATTAACTTTGCATCAAAGAGTAATTACAACGAATGTCCTATTATTATTTGTAAAACTTTGGCATGTAGCAGCAAAAATCCCATACTTCGTAGTGAGATACAAAGGTTACAAAAGCGCGTTTTTAGATTCATTTGGGGTACTGGAAGCGAATGGTTAGGTAGAGCGGTTGTCACACTCCCGGTTGGCCGTGGAGGCCTGGGTCTTATAGCTGTTGAAAAGAGGATTATGAGTGTGTATTTGAAACGTAGTTATAAGCGGGAGGGGGGGGCGAGGGAAGGCGGACTTCATAAGACTACGTCAGGATATGCAACGGTGGTGGGTGGGTAGGAGAGTTCATAATAGGTGAGGCAATGTTACGGGTCATCATAAACATGAGCGATCCTTCACATATTAAATTGGGAAACCTTGATGGGGTGGAAGGTTAAGGCGTGGTAGCAGTGGGTAGAAGGTGTTTATCCGATGTATGATTGGCGTAATATCTGGGGGCGTTTGAACAAATTACGTTTAAAACTAAAGTACGAGAAGTAATGTATAGATTTTTACATGGGATCTTACCGTCTGGAAATGGTTTTATTCCATAAGAGAATACGGGAGGATGGGATATGCAAGGCTTGTGGTGGATGGGAGACTGTTTTCCATATAGTGTATTTTTGCGAATGTATTGAACTAATAAGGGTTTGGTTGGGTAAGGTAAAAAGGTTAGTGGAGGGGGGGGTTTGCAGGTGTTGAGGGTTTTAAGCTTAGACATAGGTGGGGTGAATCAGATGGTAGAGAATGCGGTAGGGTATATAATTACGGATTATATTTATATGTCTTGGGCTATGAGAGGAGCGAACGTGTGTGAAAGAATTAATTTCATTAACAGCAACTTTTTATAGGACAAAGTGTAGAAATAAGGAGGTGTATGGGGGGAGATGGGAGAGGGATTTAAGTGAGGGTTATAGGAATTTCACTTTACGGGATTTACGGGAGTTGAAAGGCAGGTAAGGGGGATGAAATGGGCTGGTTTCCTAGAATGGTCGGTAGCATGATGAGTTTGATGAATGTTATATGAGGTATGTCTGGGGTGCAATTTTAACATTATTTGTTCCGAGTGTTTCAAGTACAATACAGTTATATTTGGAATTATCGACCTATAACTATGTATGTGTATATATATGCATGTGTTGTATGTGTGTGTATATATGTATGTATATGTGTGTGTGTGTGTGTATATATATATATATATATATATATATATATATATATGTGTGTATGTATGTATATATATATGTATATATGTATGTATTGTATGTATGTTTACTTTCTTGTATATACCTTTAATGGTTTTTCTCATGAACATTTTCAATGATATACAATACATATTTTCTATGCGCATTTATGATTTTGATACAATGTGTAAATGTCAAAATGGCTTTTTATGTTCCAGTTTAATTTACAATTGTATTTTTGTAAGCACAATTGATTTGGTGCCAATAGAAAGTATGTAGTTTAAGAGTTTTACGAACCCTTGAAGTTGTATGAATTGGATGAAGTTATTCA